AATGATAATTGTAATGATAATAATGAAAATAATAATGATGGTAATAAAATATGGTAAAATAATGATATAATAATGATAATATTATAATATATATATATATATATATATATATATATATATATATATATATGTATGTATGTGTGTGTGTTGTTGTGTTGTGTGTGTGTGTGTGTGTGTGTGTGTGTGTGTTGTGTTGTGTGTGTTATTATTATTATCAGTAGTAGTAGTAGTAATAGTAGTAATAGTAGTGATAATATTGACAATGATAATGATAATAACAATTATATTAGAGATAACGATTGTAGAAAATAATCGTAATAACAATAACATTAATGATAACAATGATACATAATGACAGTAATAGTAATGATAATTATTACAGAAATCATAACAAAAACCACAATAATAGTAATAATACGGGTATGACTATCGTTATTATTGCTATTATTATCGTTATAATCATCATTATTATCACTGATGGTAAAAGGAACATGGATTCTAATAATTATGATAATAATGATAATACTGAAAATGATTATAATGAAAATTTTGATAATATTGCTAATAATTAGTTTAAACGAAATTCCTCTTTGACGTCATCAAGCCTTAATGACGTCACTGAAGAAGTACAATGCCAGATGACGCATGGTGACGTCACTGATCCTGTCACTCTTCTATTCTAGTATATATGTAATAGGAATTGCGCTGAAAAAGGTCCCAGAGAATCTTACAATTATCCACCGTGTAAATATTATACATACTAGTAGCACACACACACACACACACGCACACATACACACACACACACACACACACACACACACACACACACACACAACACACACCACCACACACACACACACACACACACACACACACACACACACACACACACACACCACACACACACACACACACACACCACACACACCACACACACACACACACACATACACACACACACCACACACATATATATATGATATAATATATATATATATATATATATATATATATATAGTATATATATATAATATATATATATACATATACTATATATATATATATATATATATATAAATATATATATATATATATACATATACTATTATATATATATTAACATATATATATATTACTATATATATATATATATATATTATATATTATATATATACTACTATATATCATATATTGTATAATACATACATACATACATACAATATATTACTACTACTATATAATATATATATATATATAATATACATATATATTTGTATATACATAATATACATACATATAATATATATATAATATATATATTATAATATATATATGTATATATAATATATATATAATATAATATATTATATATATATATATGTCTCTCTCTCTCTCCTCTCTCTCTACTCTCTCTCTCTCTCTTCTCTCTTCTCTCTCTCCTCTCTCTCTCTCTCTCCTCTCTCTCTCTCTCTCTCTCTCTCTCTCTCTCTCTCTCCTCTCTCTCTCTCCTCTCTCTCTCTCTCTCTCTCTCTCTCTCTCTCTCTCTCTCTCTCTCTCTCTCTCTCTCTCTCTCTCCTCTCTCTCTCTCTCTCTCTCTCTCTCTCTCTCTCTCTCTCTCTCTCTCTCTCCTCTCCTCTCTCCTCCTATATATATATAAATATTATATATATATATATATTATATATATTATATTGTTGTGTGTTGTGTGTGGTGTGTGTGTGGGTGTGTTGATGTGTGTGTTGTGTGTGTGGTGTGGTATGTGTATGTGGTGGTTTTGTGTGTGTGTGTATAGTATATATATATATTATATATAATATATATATATATATATATAGTGTATTATATATGATTATAATATATATACTTAATATATAGTAATATTATATATATAGTATATATTATATGTGTGTGTTGTGTTGTGTGTGTGTGTTGTGTGTTTGTGTTGTGTTTGTGGTTGTGTATATACATATATATATATATATATACTATATATATATTATATATATATATATATAATATTATATATATAAATATATATATCATATAATTATTATATATATACATATATATTATAATATATATATATATACATATATACATTAGTATATATTATTATATAT